GGTTTAAATTATGGAAATTTAGCGTCATCATTTAGAAATTCTTGCAAAAATTAAATAATTGTCAGGTTTTAACGACATTTTCAGGACTTATTCACAAATGAATGAAAATATGTTTTTAAATATATATTGTAGAAAATCTTGGTAAAAATATTTTTTTACATCTGTTGGCCCCACTTATTTAATTTCAACAAAATTTAGAAAAAATAAAATTTCAGACTCGATATATTTATATTAGTTAAAACAGGACTCCTGGGAGAAATTAAATTTATTTTGTCAACCAAAACTCCATTTACCGAAAATCTGCTCTGAATCGTAAGATAAAAAATGTAATAAAATTATGACATGATTTAATTAATTATATTTATTTGATTTTATTAATTTTACAAGAATTATTTTCATTCTTTTCAAATGCAAATCAGAAAAAAATATTAAGTTTTAAATATGTATTAATTTCCGCCTTTTAGATGATATTATTAAATGCAAACTATATTTACTAATTATAAATGGAAAAGCTTAATACAAATAATCAAATTCCAATATTATAAAAATAATTTTGAATTTTTTTTCATCAGTGTATAATCGTGCCAATTTTTGTAAATACGGTGGTCCATACAAAATTTTTATCAGTAAAATAAAAAAATTTTCAATTTAATGAATAAAATTTTATAAGAGAGTTGTCAACCGGAGAAGAAGTCTCTTCTATATCCGGGTTTCTTTATATCCGGGTTTGGTCTATTTTATATAAATTAACACAGGTTCTAATTTGGGACCAGAGAAAATCTCTGTTATATCCGGGTCTCTTATATCCGGGTTACACTGTACAACATTAGATTAGATTACTAAATACTTAAAAATTGTATAAACATGGCGCTCACGTCATTTTCTTTAATTATGTTTTACAGATAAAGTCTCCGTAGAACACGGCAGAACAGCTACTGTTGGGTCAAAAATGCCTTTCTGTGATATTTTAAACTTAAAGTAAATAATATTTGATTAAAATCAGATTAATTCTACTTTAAATTAGCTGATATTCCTTAAATACAATTCCAGAAAAGTATATTTTATTTGTGGAAGATTTTTTTAATAAAGAGAATTACATTGCGATGAAAGGCGATTCAAAAAGGATGCTAATCAAGTATTTTAGCAAAATCAAAAGAAATGAATTTTTTTCATGTCAATTTAAATTAGCTTTTGAAATACAGAAAATTATTTTGCTTACTGGAAATATTAAATTTAATCTATTAGCTTGAAATTAAAAGTAAAATAAAAGCTTCAAGAATGATTTTTTTCATTTTTACAAATTCATTTTAAAATTTAGGTATCGTGTTTTATGTGGAGGACACAAATTATTTTGTTTACATTTCCGATATGAAAATAGCTAATTAAGTTGCTTTAAAAGAAAATTATGTGCAAAAAGAAAAGCTAATTGAAATGTTACCTCGGCAAAATTTAGATCAGCTGAGTGCTCTATATTAAAATGTTTTTTTTTTCTGCAAAGGAGGACGCAGGTTCGAACCTTATCGGAGAGTACATTTTACTTTATTAAGTCTTACGAACGTAATTCACACTCATTAAAATCTCCCGATAGACGTAATTCACACTCATTAAAATCTCCCGATAGACGTAATTCACTCTCATTAAAATCTCCCGATAGACGTAATTCACGCTCATTAAAATCTCCCGATAGACGTAATTCAAGCTCATTAAAATCTCCCGGTAGACGTAATTCACACTCATTAAAATCTCCGATAGACGTAATTCACACTCATTAAAATCTCCCGATAGACGTAATTCACACTCATTAAAATCTCCCGATAGACGTAATTCACACTCATTAAAATCTCCCGATAGACGTAATTCACGCTCATTAAAATCTCCCGGTAGACGTAATTCACACTCATTAAAATCTCTATTATAATTCTGCTTGCTGCTCCCTTGTTTAGTTAGTTAGTTTCTTACTTAGTCCGCAAGACCATTACGCCTTGCCAATACCTCATGGACTATTCCGTTTTGACGATAGGAAATGAAAGAAAGACAGAAAGAAAGACAAGAAAATGGAAATGTCTAACGATTTTTTCAGTTAAATGGAAAAAGTTGCCAATTTCAAATCATTTCATTCGTAAACCCTTACTGATAAATATATTTATTAATAAAAGTGCTTGCAAGACAGGTTTTCGTTTTGTCTACTTTATGTGTCATGCCTCTTCTTGACGTAAGCGATCATGGCTCTCCACAATTTCCTGTTCCTGGCAACCTCTTAATAAATTGTGTCTTTCTATTATTTCTCCTAAACTCAGTTCTGCCATCCATTTGCTTTACCTCCACTAAGTACCACATGCGTTATTTTCCATGTCTGACTTACCTTCAGTCTGCCTTGAGAGTATCAGATTTTCCAACCTTCTTTCCTTATTATGTGCCCTATAAACCTCAACTGTTCCTCCTAATGTTAAGTATAAGTTTCCTTTTTTGTTTCATTGTCTCTAAAATTTCGCCGTTGCTTACATGTTCAGTGCAAGGTATCGAGAGCATGCTTCTGTAGAACTATATTTCTGTTGCTTCAAGTGCCTTCTTCATGTTCGATCCTTGGTAGACACTCTTCCCGAAGTTAAGTATATGTATCTGTTTTGTTTCCATTTTCTCTAAAAATTCGTCGTTGCTCACATGTTCGGTCCAAATCTATATCCTCTAGAACCAAATTTCTTTTCTTAAGTCTCTTCTTCATAATTTCCATCCATGTATTCTCTCTTCCAACCATGTTAAGCTGTTTTTATTTCTCCAAAAAACAAACGTCTTTCACATGTTCTATAGTATCCTCAGCATTCTTAGAACCATTTCTGTTGATTCAAGTCTCTTCTTCCTGTTCCATCCATGGTATTCTCTCTTCCCGATGTTAAGTATAAAATGTCCTTTTTTGTTTCCATTTTCTCTAAAAACGTCGTTGCTCCTGTTTGGTCCATGGTATTCTCAGCATTTCTGTACCACATTTCTGTTGTTTCAAGATCCATGGTATTCTCTCTTCCCGATTTTAAGTATAAGTGTCCTTTTTGTTTCTTTTTTTAAAACTTCAAATGTTGCTCAACGGTTCATGGTATTCTCAGCATTTCTCAAGAACCACACAAATTTTTCCTTCAAGTCTCTTCTTCATGTTCCATCCATGGTATTCTCTCTTCCCGATGTTAAGTATAAGTGTCCTTTTTTCATTTTTCTCTAAAAACTTTTCAAAAATCTCAATTTTTTCGTCGTTGCTCACATTTCTTTAAGTCCATGGTATCCTCAGCATGCTTCCCCGATTTTTGAACCACATTTCTGTTGCTTCAAGTCTCTTCTTCATGTTCCATCCATGGTAAAATCTTCATCAGCCATGAATGATTCTGTAGAATCATGGTTCTGTTGTTTCAAGTCTATTCTTCATCTTTGAGGAGATTGTCTTTCGCTCCGTGTCTTGCAGAAGCATAGTTATTGTGTACCAGTTTAGTACTCTTTTCCTTGTTTCCAGCGAAGTTTGACTATTTCTTAGAAATTTTTTTGTTTCTTTGAAAGACCGGTTCCCGTACGGTCACCAAACTTGTCATCCATCTCGGTACTAACCAGCTGAGCCTGGTAACCGCTTGGGAATACCAGGTGTTGTAAGCTTAGATGTGCGGCTGGTGAGATTGATAATGGATCGGGCCGAGTATTCAATTCCAGTTGGGTACGTTATATTTACTTATGCGCAAATACCATTGAGAAAGGTATGAATTCACCACTCCTGTCCCCAGCTATGGGTTAATTAGTAAAACCATTATTATCGCCAAAAAGTAGAATTTCGCATAAAATATTTAGATTTTGGCTTTAAATAATCCATAAAGATTGATATGTTCCTAAACGAAAACTAGGAACCATCTCTTACCGGAAAACTCCAAACAATGAAATGCAACGGCAGTCGCCATCTTTTGTGTTGTGGTAGGATCCACCTAATTTTTTATAGTGGAGTACCGACCATATAAATATGGTTGGTACCGGGAAGACGAGGGGAGGAATCAAGAGATTCAATCCAGAGACTCTGCCCGACTGCGACGAAGTCAACACATTCTCCAGGAACGGTCTTCCTAAGAATATACAAAAGACTATATGTAAATATTGTGTACACTTTCTTGTTTAAATACATTTTGTTCTAAGTACATTTTGTGTTGCATTATTATTCCATGCATTAGTCAAGTTTCAACATTTTGTCTTCTTGAATCCTGTTCATCATTTATCCTTTCCTCAATACTCCATATACACATTTTTTTCTCTCACTTTTAACTCTCTGTAACCCCGTGCGTACTAGGGGTATTCCTGACTTGACTGGGGTGAAATGATTAAAGAAAAACAATTCTTCTTACTCTTAGCTTTTTGAATACATCTTTGGCTATCCCAAAACACCTTCAGATTTCAAGGTCACACTTTCCGTCCTCAGTATTTACCCTAGACCTCCTTCAATTGGATATTGCATCATGATTTTTTATTTCTTTTGGCGTTCCGAAAATATTGTCAAACAGCCCTCGTATACACGCAGTTGGGTAGCTGTCTACCTCTCCAGACGAGACTCTACCCGTAGGCATAGCCTTGCCTGGGTTCCTTTCCACCTAGAGACAGAGAGTCGACAAGTAGAGTTAACTGGAATCCTTAACTTCTCTCACTTACCGGACTCGGTTTTTAACCAAGACCTTCCAAGAGGGCTGGATGTGGCACAAGGCTTTTTTTTACATGGGGCGTTTCAAGGCCATTAATATTTGTGCAAAAAAAATTCCCAAGGATCCGTCTTTTTTAAAAACATTGCTATATATTTATTTAAAAATGACTAACCATGCCTATGTAGGTATTCATGCTCAGATTTATCTCGCAGTTATTAGGTTGGTGCAAAAATAATGTCGTTTTTGACGTTCAACTTAACGTTTGGAAAATTTGCACCTAACCAATATATATATTCTAATATATATTTAAACCTGTTATTACCGCCATTGTTTTCCTCTCTTTCTATGGCTTCCGGTCTAACCTGTCTGTATTCTTTTCATTTCTTGATTATCCCCCTTTTGAAAAATCTGTTTAACGCCAAACAAGAGGTCTTCCCTTGTTCAACCTCTTTCATAAAATATGTTTCTCTCTCTTCCTCTCTATTCTCTTTCTTCTTTCCAATGAATGACACTTTCTATCCATTCCGTCCAAATTATATATGTTTGAAGATATATAATTTTGTTTTTTTGTTTCGGTAATTTCCTTCAAAATCTTTTTCTGAGGTTAATCGACAGCAGATGACAAAGATTAATTATAAATTTTTTCTTTTCACTTTACAAATATTCTATTTTAGTTGTTTCAAATGTTTGAAATTTTCAAGTGTTTTTATAATTTTTAAATCTGTTGATGGCGTAAATAGTCCTCATGTTTTAAAAAGATGGCGGGAAAATCCTTCGAATCGTTTTTCTTTAAATGGGGTGGAAAAGTGATGCCAAATAGAAAGCAATGGCTAAAAACGGAATCGATTAAAACATAGCGACTTTTTGGAAAAAAAAATATCTTTTAAAAAAGGCATTATTTACCCCAATTCTTTAACAAATTGCCTATTCCATATTTCAATACGAAAATTTTTATTAAAAGGCCAATTTGCGGTGTCGAAAAGAAATAAAAAAAGAAAATTGAGGGAAATTGATTGATTGAGAGAGATCTTTTTGAGAGAAAAAAATTGAAGGTAATTAGAAAAATTATGAAGATTTTTGGGATAAGGGGGGTAAAAAAAATTGAAGAGGATCAGAACACAAACTGAGAAAGGACAGTTGAAAGAGAGAGGTTTCAAAAAAATAATAACGGAAATAAGGGAGATAACTGATCAGTGAAAATGAGCTGGTGGCATTTATGAAAAGAAGAATTTGGAGAGTAAGGAGTAAGATGGCCAAAGGAGAGCAAGGGTTTTGCTGACCATGAAAGCTCGTCAATAAATAATGAGTGTTTGATTCAATTCATCAACAATATCCCTTACTCTCTTTATCTATCTATCTATCTTTGTCTCTTTCCTTCATTTTTTGTGTGTATTTTATTTGCTATATGTATGTATCTTTGTTGTTACTCTTGGCCCTTTTCGCAGTCGCCATCTTTTAATTTTGCCTGTATTTTTTGCGATATATTATTACATTCTTTCTTTCTTTATCAATCTAATTCGTTTTTTTCCTTTATTTTTCTTCTATAAACCTTTTGTTTTTTTTTTTTATTTATTTTCCTTCATAAATATTTCTTCCTTGTTTTATTTTCTTTTTTTTCTTTCTTTTTCTTTTTTCACTTTCTTTCTTTTTTATTCCTTTTCTTTCTTTCATTCTTTTTTTTCTTATTCCTTTTGATTTTTTATATTTTATCTTTCTTTTTTTTTTTTTTTTCCTTAAATATATATTTTCTTTTTTTTCTTTCTTTTTATTTTAACTTTTTCTTTCTTTTTCTAAAACATCTAATTCTTTTCTTTCTTTCTTTCTTTCTTTTCTTTTTTACGAATTTTTTCTTTTCTTTCTTTCTTTTTTTTCTTCTCTTTTCATTTTCTTTTTCTTTCTTTTTCTTTCTTTCTTTTCTTAATTTGATTGATTGATTGATTCTTTTTTTCTTTTCTTTCTTTTTTTTTTTTATTATTCTTTTTTGGTTTATTTTTCTTTTCTTTCTTTCTTTTTTTTTTTTCTTTCTTTTTTTCTTTCTTTCTTAATTCGTTCCATTTTTTTGTCTTTTTCAATTTTCTTTATTTTCTTTTTTTTTTCTTTTTTCTTCTTTTCTTTTTTTTCTTTCCTTTTTTTTATTCCATTTTTTCTTTTTTTCTTTTTTTCTTTGAAATTTTTCTTCATATTTATTTTGATTTTATTTTAAAGACTGAAACAAAGGTTCTTTCTTCTTTTTCCATTTTCATTTTGATTCTTTTCACTTTTCTTTCTTTGAAAATTTCTTTTTTTCTTTTTTTTTTTTTTTTTTCTTTCGTTTTTTTTTTTTTTTCTTCTAAATTTTTCTTTCTTTTTTTTTCTTTTTTTTTTGAGCTTTGGAATTTGATTCTTTCTTTTCTTTTTTTTCGTTTTTCCATTTCTAACATTGATTCTTTCTTTCTTTCTTTCTTTCTTAATTTGATTGATTGATTGATTCATTCTTTCTTTCCTATTCCTTCCTCTACTCTTTTTCACTTTCACTGATTCTTTCTTTTTATTTTTCTTTCTTTTTTCTTTCTTTTTTCTTCCTTTTGTTTTGTCTTTGTCACTTTGGTTCTTTCTTTCTTATTTCTTCGTCTTCCATTTTCTAACATTGATTCTTTCTTTCTTTCTTTCTTTCTTTCTTAATTTGATTGATTGATTGATTCATTCTTTCTTTCCTATTCCTTCCTCTACTCTTTTTCACTTTCACTGATTCTTTCTTTCTTTTTTCTTTCTTTTTTTCTTTCTTTTTTCTTCCTTTTGTTTTGTCTTTGTCACTTTGGTTCTTTCTTTCTTATTCCTTCGTCTTCCATTTTCTAACATTGATTCTTTCTTTCTTTCTTTCTTAATTTGATTGATTGATTGATTGATTCTTTCTTTCCTATTCCTTCCTCTTCTCTTTTTCACTTTCACTGATTCTTTCTTTTTATTTTTCTTTCTTTTTTATTCCTTCTTCTTCTAATTTCCTATTTTTGCCATTATTTTTACTGTATCAATCTCGCTTTTTGCTTGTCATTTTCGTTAAATAATTCTTTCTTTCTTTCTTTCTTTCTTGTCTTATTCCCTGCGTAAATCTTCTTTTCGTCTTTCTCCATCTTTAGCTATAATCCTCACTCTTCTTGACACTTGACCAAAGCAACATAATAGATTACGAAAGAAAATACCAGATGTCCCGTATACCTGACGGTGACCGGAGAACGTAACGATCGAAATGTTGGAACAGAAACAACAGAGATAAACAATTTGGAGAGAGACTAACTACATGATTTCTTATAAGACGATCGAATGAAATTACATTTCCATCGGTGCCATCTCTGACCATCCTCGTGTTCTCTAAAAGCATTTTATTTATTTTATTAACTTGTGGGACTTCCAACTTCCACATTATTGATTTATCGCTACATTTCCTTTAATATACTTTCCATTCCAGTCTTGTAATGTTTCTGTGAAATATTAACATTATTTGATTAATTATGCAATATCTTCGCTTTTGTTGCTTCAACGGCGACGTTTCGACTGGTGACCTCTTCAGTGTTCTGTTCATCATGTGTAAGATTTGTATAGATTGAATAGAATTCTACAAATCTTTTGGGCTTTCTTATTAGTTTTTTTATACATTTAAATGTCTTCCTTCCATTCCAGTTCCTCATTTTTTATTCTTTATATTTTCTTGACATATATATATATATATATATATATATATATATATATATATATATATATATATATATATATATATACCTAGATATCATAGACAAACCTATAAATAAACAAACCTAAGCGGATCGTCCACCTAATCCCTTACGATCCGATACCTTGGTATTTTTGTCTGGCTTTAGGTTTACTTTTAAATTTTCCATTATACTCATTGTATTGAGCAATTTATTTAGTTGTTTTGGGTATCTTCATCCGGGTTTTTTATTCTTTGGGCTTTTGGACTCTGTATGCTGGACGATTATTTTCGGTTAACGTACATGTTGTTGGTTCTTTCTTTTTTTTTACCTTTTTTTCCCTTTTGTATTGGCTTGTTTATTTGCAAATCAATACACCGAAGGTTTTCAACATATATTTCTTATACTTACAGTATACAGAGCGAGTATAGTTTCTTATACTCATAGTTACTTACTTAAAGCGTTCGACAGGGTTTAGCATAGCGGTTTTCTACACAACTTGAAAAGTTAGGGTACCTCCTGTCGAATTTTTAAAATGGTTCGGTCTTTCTTCTCAAATCGCGAAATGAAATTTGTCATGAATAAACCACTATTCTAGACCCTTTCCTACTAATGCAGGTGTCCCCCAGGGCTTTGTTCTTAATCTTCACCAGTAACTTTCCTCATGGCATCAGCTTTCAAATTGTTATCTATATTGACGACACAATAATTTGCTTCTGTCTCGATAGTGCTGACCATTGATCAGATCGATAAGGTCAAAGTTGGCGATGATCTCCAAATGACCTACACTCAGTTGTTAACTGGGGCAAAAAAAACTTACCTGCTTAACGCTCTCAAATCAAAACTGCTCTCTTATTAATCATCTGACTTTTATCAGCATTGCTGATGCTAACCTCAATCGATGTGCCCAGCTCATTAAACATACACACACACACACACACACACATATATATATATATATATATATATATATATATATATATATATATATATATATATATATAATTTTTCTCCTTTTTCAATAGTTAACAATCTTTTTTTTTTTTCTTTTTTTTTAGCCAGTCTTTTTACAGTCCACCTTACTCTCCATTTACTTTTTTCTTGTCTCATTGGTACTTGCGTTTTGTCTAGGTAAGGGCTCTCTGTTAATTTTTCTATCAGAGTAGTCTCTCTTGCAAGGAAGTCTCACTCACAAGGAAGTCTCTCTCCCCTAAAAACAAGGAAAAGAAAAAAATGTCACAGACCCATTTTGTTGCCGTGCTTTTTCCTCTACACTTTTTTCGCTCAATTTTATTTCTTTTATCTGATTGTTATGTAAATAAGCATTTTAATGTCTGTCTATATTTTGAGATGAAATATTTGTACATTTTGTACATTATTCGGATATTTTGTCCTCATCTTTCTCGCCATATTTATTACAACGTTTCGGCCTTTCAGTATCTGTCTATATTTCTGACATTGAGATATTATGTACATTATTCGGCGTATTGTCCTCATCTTTGTCGCCATATTTATTAAATTCAGGTTTCTTGGAATGACGAACTTTCAGAACCACTTTGATTTTTTTATATCAATGGCGTAGACTGTTCTAGTTCCACGAGCCACGTGGTATTGAACCCGGTTAAGGCAGTGGAGAACGTTCAGAGAGAAATTAGCAGGAGATAACTGATAACTGACATCCATCAAATATGACACGTGGAATTAGAACAGTCTACCCCAGCGAACGAAATAAAGGGTTCAGTTCGACATTCCAACCACCTGAAGAAGGCCGGAGCGTACAACAGCCGAAACGTTGTAATAAATATGGCGACAAAGATAGTCCGAATAATGTAAATAATGTAAGCATTTTAAGTTTTCTTAAAATTATGAGATGGATATCGTAATAATAATAATAATAATAATAATAATAATAATAATAATAAAATGTAAAACCTATTATTATTATTTTATTTTCTTTGATTTCTAGTGTAACATTAATTTCTTTCCTGGTCTCAACCAGAGAGCTAAGTTTAGAAATGGCATCATGACATTTTCCACTGAGCATTTTTTGAGGAAAGAAAAAAAATCACCGGAGATAAAGTCCATCGTAAGATGAGGGGCTGTACTTGTGAGTACAATTTTTTGTATTTCTGTAAGGCATGGGTTACCAGGAATCCCTTCAATGAGTCTATTGGAATCTTTTCCAGTCATTCCGAGGGCTCCAAATACAATTGGAATTATTGATGTCCTCATGTGCCACAGATTTGAGAATCCGATTGCAAGATTCTTGTATTTTCATGGTTTTTTTGAAGATCTTCAAAGATACATTGCAATCTGCAGGGACTGTCATGTCAATAAGGAGGCATATTTTATCTTTGAGGTCTTTAATTACGATATCTGGGCGATTAGCTTTGATTGTACTGTCTGTGTGTATTGCAAAGTCCCCTAAAATTGTTACAGGTCCTATCTCTGTAACCGGGTGTGGGCGGTGTTCATGCCAGTTTCTTGCAGGTTTCTTTCCCGTAAAAGTTGTATATTATCCACTACCCATTCTGTCATGCCGAGATTTATATTCAGTGGTTACCAATGCCTGGCAACCTGATGCAAAAATGATCAATTGTTTCTGTATATTTATCACAGAATCTGCATTTTGGCTGAAAACAGTTTGTCAGTATCTGAGCTCGGTAATTTCTCGTTAGCAAGCATTGGTCCTGTGCAGCAAAAATAAAACCTTCCGTTCCAGATTTTAATCTTGCACCACGTAACCACTGATGGGTACAGGGTTTGTCTACATCGGCTTGTTTAGTACGGCAGACTATTGACCACGAAGATGCTTATATTGCTATCATTTTTTTTTTTGCATTTGATACATTGCATTTGCTTTCTTTCTTAGGTTCTTTGACACTGCAGCAGGTGTATTATCGTTTATCTGCAATTTTTCATTCGCTTGAAATTCTCTTTTGAATTTCTTGGATTCCTTTATTACTGAATAAAGTTTCTTCATTCTTCCATATTCTTTGACGCAGATCATCAACCAATCTTCTTTTCAGTATGCGTGCTTAATAATTTCTAGTTAGTAAACATTGGTCCTGTGTTGCAAGAATAAAACCTTCGGTTCCAGATTTTAATCTTGCACCACATAACCACTGGTGGGTACAGGGTTTGTCTACATCAGCTTGTTTGGTACGGTAGACTATTGATCACGAAGATGGTTATCTTGCTATCGTTTTTGCATTTGGTAAATTGCATTTTCTTTTACTTTCTTTCTTAGGTACTTTGCCGCTGCAGTAGGTGTATTATGGTTTATTTGCACTTCTTCATCCATTTGAGCTTTAGAAAAAGAAATTCAAACTCTAAAGCGTTCGACAGGGTTTAGCATAGCGGTTTTCTACACAACTTGAAAAGTTAGGGTACCTCCTGTCGAATTTTTAAAATGGTTCGGTCTTTCTTCTCAAATCGCGAAATGAAATTTGTCATGAATAAACCATTATTCTAGACCCTTTCCTACTAATGCAGGTGTCCCCCAGGGCTTTGTTCTTAATCTTCACCAGTAACTTTCCTCATGGCATCAGCTTTCAAATTGTTATCTATATTGACGACACAATAATTTGCTTCTGTCTCGATAGTAAGTCTGATCAGATCGATAAGGTCAAAGTGGCGGCTGATCTCCAAATGACCTACACTCAGTTGTTAACTGGGGCAAAGAAAGGCTTGTTAATTTTAACGCTCTCAAATCAAAACTGCTCTCTTATTATTCATCTGACTTCTATCAGCATGGCTGATGCTAACCTCCAATCGATGTGCCCTCTTCGGTTAAAATTATCGACTGACATGAAATAGAAAGACTATATTGAATCTATTGTTAGGTCAGCTGCTAAGAAAGTTGGTTCGCTAAGTCGACCGAGACAATTTTTCTCTCCAGAGTCTATTTTACATATTTACCATTTCTCAATACCTCGATCATTGCTGCCACACATGTTCTGGTGCTCCTGCTAAATATTTAGAGATTCTTGATAAAATCCAAAGACGAATCAGAAATATTACTGGTTCTCACTTGACGTCTGGGCTTCAGTCACTTCCCTGTGCCCTTTTTATAAATATTTCATCATAATTTTTTGGTTGAGCTCTTTTGCTATGGTACCTAGACTTTACGAATATAAGTGCACTATTAGATAAGTAAGAATGTCACATCAAGTTACCGTTGAACTGGCTAGATGTAACAGTAAATTCTATGCTAACAGTTTCATCTCTCTGACTTTTCGCTTGTGGAACTCTCTTCAGGATCTACGCTTTCCAATCAAAGTTCAAATATTTAAATGCAATGTCAATCGTTATCTACTGTCTTCTTAATTACTCTTCTGTTGCTCTCTCTTATCAATAATACTTCGGTTTACGAATTCTTTCACATCCATAAACTCGTCGTGTCTTAGTGACTTTACTACCTTGCTTGGGGTGATTTCGATTGAAGAAGTGGTCGATGAGGAAATTAGGAATAACGTATGTATAAGCTTAAAGAACTGAGGAATATCTGCATTAATGTAAAAAAGAATTGGACTTACTCTCTGTGTGAGTATTGTGGTGCTATCAATTAATCATACTTATGTTCGTTTATATATCGGATCGGATTTCCTACATTTTTCAACCGATTTCAACAAAATTTCACAGGACTACGTAAAATTACCTTGCGGTGGTTCTGACAGCGACAAAAATTGGAAAAACACAATTGTTTTTGGGCGAAATCAATTTGAAAACACGATTAAGAGGCATTAATGAAAGGGGGACAACTCATATCGAGTTATACTTATTATAAAACCCAGGTTGTGTGTGTGTGTGTGTGTGTGTGTGTGTGTGTGTGTGTGTGTGTGTGTGTGTTCGTTTATATATGGGATCGGATTTCCTACATTTTTACAACCGATTTCAACAAAACTTCAACTTTTTTTTGGCAGGTAGTGTTTCTTATTTTCTTGAATATTTTTTTCTTATTTTTACATTCAGAATGCTTTAAAAATTTCATTTACAAGACAATTGTTTATAATAAAATTCTATTCAATCGGTAGACTCATAACGATTGAAAACAATGTTTTTTATGAGTTTGGGTTTGACCAATTCATAAAAAAAAAAAAAATAAAATAATTAAGACATGCGTGTCCGTCAACCTTAATCAATAATCTTTATAAATTTTATTTTTCAGTGTTTATGATGGTCGATACTTGATCTATCTCTTACTGTTACATCCCCGGGCAACGCCGAGCTCTACTGCTAGTATCTAATATTATGTGCATGGCTATGTTTTTTTTTCTAAGAAATGTTGTTTAATAGAACTAAAATCAGAAATTATTTTCATCAGAAATTAAAGCAAATATTCGAACAGCACATGATCAGACATAATAGATATTCATTGTCTGTTATATTTAATAATATATGTTTATATATATATATATATATATATATATATATGTGTGTGTGTGTGTGTGTGTGTGTGTGTGTGTGTGTATCCTTAAAGAGGTTACAAACAGACAAAGTTAGTACTCGAGTGATAGAAAATTAACACGCGTGTCGATGAAAATAAGTGAGATTTATTTAAAAAAGAATACACTACTGAAATACAGGGAATCGGATGGCAGGCTAGCAATTCCGGAAGCAAGCCCCCAGGTAATCCTGTGCTCACTATATATAGCTAATGATATAGCCAGTCCACATAGGCGATAGGGAGTGTTGGACATTCCATTACAACAATATGTGTGTGTGTGTGTGTGTGTGTGTGTGTGTGTGGATCTGATTCATACCGATCCATGTGATCTCTTACTAAGTGCGTTCAACATGAAGCTGTGGGATAGACTAACACCAATGTATGCGCATTATATCAAAGTGATCGAGGCACTTAACGATAGGTACTCTCTGCATCCCCACAATCACTGCAGATGTGCTCGTGGCGTCATAGCAAAATGAAGAAAGTGGTGTCGGACTTAGTAGAGAGTATGAAGATTGTGCCGGATGTAAACACCAAGGCCATTCTTAAGCATATCCTAGAATCTCTCCAACAAAGAGTAAGATGGCCTGGAAGAGAGAATTCATTCATAGCGATAGAATAAATGAAATTAGTTTCGTAATGTTTTAAGATATTGAAAAGAAGAGATTCTATACTGCAAAAATTGGAAATGGGACGTTCCAGCGTCGCCCATTTGGCGTCGTCGATTCGGCGTCGCCGATTCGACGTAGCCGAGTCGACGTAGCCGAGTCGACATAGGAATTTTTCGGCAGCGGGAAGATTAGGTGTCAGATTACTACTTCGTCATTGTAGTCAAATTTGTTCTCTCTTTCTCACTCTCGCTTTCTCTCTCTCTTTCTCTCTCTCTCTCTTTCTCTCTCTCTCTCTCTCGCTTTCTTCCTCTCTCTCGCTTTCTATCTCTCTCTCGCTTTCTCTCTCCTTCCCTCTCTCTCCCCCTCCCTCTCTCTCTCTCGCTTTCTCTCTTTCTCTTGCTTTCTCTCTCGCTCGCTTTCTCTCTCTTTCTCTCTCTCTAGCTTTCTCTCTCTCTCTCGCTTTCTCTCTTTTTCTCTCTCTAGCTTTCTCTCTTTCCTTTCTCTCTCTCTCTCTCTTTCTTTCTCTCTCTTTCTCTCTCTCTCTCCTTTCTCTCTCTCTTTCTCTCTCTCTTTCTCTCTCTCTCTTTTCTCTCTTTCTCTCTTTCTCTCTCTCTCTCTTTCTCTCTCCATCCCTCTCTCTCTCTCTCTCCATCTCTCCCTCCCTCCCTCTCTCTCTCGCTTTCTTTCTCTCGCTTTCTCTCTCTCTCTCTCGTTTAACACTCATATTAGTACTTCGTCTTTATATGCTCGAATAGTCTAATTTAAGAGAAAAAAGCAGTTGGAGGCATTTTCAAATTTAAGAAAAAGACTAGTTGGAGGCATTTTTAAATTTAAGAAAATCAGTAGTTGGAGGTATTTTCATATTATATTTTTTCAGTGGAGCTTCATATTTTTCCGTCGTCAAAGTCCTTTTATTCCAAAATGGAAGCAAACATTTTATCAAAACGTGGAAGAAACATAATGATATACGATGGATACCTTATTTTTGACGCAAGTGAACAGAAAGACCCATAGATGAAGGATGGAAAAGTTTTTAATTGTCATTATTCTATTAGTGTTTTAACAGGAATCTTCATTCCCTAAATGAATAAAAAGTCATATTGAAAGTTGGGTGGTTTCAATGCTTTTATCCTTTTTTTGGCGAGGTTACCTCCGGTCAAAGACAGTGACGTCGAAACAGTCTGACGCCTAAACGGCTGTGCCGAATAATCCAATTATTTTTCTGACGCCGAATCAGTCACGGCGAATCAGCCACGCCAAATGGGCTACGGCGAATCGTAAAAAAATTAGTATGAATACGACAAATATTGCAGAAAGAAAGCTGGGTGATTCTTGTTTACATGTTTATTCTTCTTTCTTTTCATTGTATCTGTCACAAGATATTTATGTTTTAAGGAGAAAAAGCTAAAATAATTATCCCTATCCATCCTCTATGGCAATAAAAACTAGCCAGACGTTGACTAATTCAAAAGTGAACTAAGGTTTTCCCGCCGAAAATATACGCAGAGACAACTATCCACTGATGAGAATGAGGATTATATATTGTATTTCAATATCTCTTCTATTCTATAATATCAATATTATCTTCGTCCTGGGTATCATGATAAATGACATCCGTGTCTTGGGTAAGATGATAAACTACATCCGGCAGCAAGACCTCTGATCGGGCGGTTTTGAGGAGCGTGGAACCATCTGTTAATTGCTTTTGTTCCCATGTCAGCGCTGATCCTCTTAGGGTCCCAGCTATGGGAAAATAGTGACCCCCCCCACAAACTGAAAAGTATAAAAATACATTAGACAAAAATTACCAGTAATACATTTCATAGAAAAAAAAATTTTTAAAAAATCAAATTATCAACTCTTTGGGAAAAAATACCAAAGCTCGCAATAAAATTTCGGCATTAAATGACCCATGAGGTGTTGATATAAATATAATGTAGATGGCGTAGCCACCTGTATCCGAGGATGCCATTTTACTAGGGCGGCTTGCTAATCCCCATTGCAGACGCCTGCTCAAGCACATTTGTGTTTGTTCAACACCCAGAGCCCACCTGTTCTTTATACTGCAACTATGCTGAGCAGACCTTAGTTACAGTTTCTGGGAGGGAGCGTATTATCTAGCGTGATCAACAGTTTGAACAAGGCCAGCACACTCAACCCCTCGGTCACGATGACTTGTGACTTCGTGCTCGCACAGCCATTAACTGTTAACAAAAAGTCACCTTAACAACTGGCGAGATTCGAACCCGGGGCTAATGATCAGAAAGCGAACGTTCTAACGATGTGCCCATATAGGTGTTGATGGCCCCTTAAACAAACCAATCTTTTCTCTTTCCCCCTTTCTCTCTTGTTCCTACTGTCTCGTCGATCTTCTTTCCTTTTTTACTCTTTTCTCTTTTTTCTCCATTTCTCTCTTTCCCGGTTCTGTACGATCACCGAGGTTAAGAAATGTCGAGTTTGGTCAGTACCTAGGTGGGTGACCGCTTCGGAATACCAAGTTCTGTAAGGTTGGATAATGGCTTGAAATTGGAGAATCAGAGAAGTTCTTAGCTGACTTCCGACGTCTGTCGAACTCTCTGCGTTAGCAGAGAGGAACCCGGACGAAGCTTTGCCGAAGGGCAAGGTTTCGTCCGGGAAAAAAACAGGGCCTGAATCCGTCTAGGCGGGTTCAAAGGCTATATTTTTATTGCCGAGCCTACGGGCTCGGATCAACCCACATTAAACTCGGCCTTGTGCCACATTCAATCCTCGTAGGGGGATCGATAAATACTCAGAGAGCCGAGTTCCATTTCTGATTGGGTTTCTTTTATTCACTTACGATTAAATACACTTCCGAAAGATATGAATCCACCTTTTCTTCCCCCAGATATGGGTTAATTAGTAAGACCTGTATCACTAAATCATTATTATCTCAAAAAAATTTATCACAATCTAAAACTATTTTCTGGCTTTAAATAACCCGCAAAAGGCTGATAGACCGTAAAAACACGAATCAATCTCTTTCCCGATTTTTTTCTTTCACACTCTTTATCGTTTTTTCTATATTAAGGCGTATGTTTTAAGGACCATGTCTTCTTAAAAACACGTTTCGATTTTTCTCTTTTATTTAAGACTTCCCTTTGACTTTTTTTTAAAAAAAAATTCATCTTAACTGTTATTTTTCGCCATCTTGGCTTTATTTTTCTTCTCGAAACATTAGCCTGCCTTGATATTTTTTTTTGCTATTTACATCTCTCTTTTTTATACTTTCATCTCTCTATTTCTCCCCCCTCTTCTCTCTCCCACTTTCTTTCTTTCTTTCTTTTTCTCCATAGTTCTCGCCCTCTTTCTTTTTCTCTGGCTCTCTCGCTTTCTTTTAATCTCTCTTTTTCTCTCTTTTCTTTCTTTTCTCATACTATCGTTCTTTCTCTCTTTCTCTCTTTACCTCTCTTGTTCCTTTTTTTTTTTCACTTTCTTTGATGCCTATCTTTCTCTCTTTCTTTCTTTCTTTCTTTCTTTCTTTCTTTCTTTCTTTCTTTCTTTCTTTCTCCATAGTTTATCTTTATTTCTTTTTTATTTTCTCTTTTCACCACTCTATTTCATTCTCATTTTCCTTCTTTCTCGTTTTTTCTCTTTCTTTCTTTCTTTCTTTTTTTTTTTTCTTTCTTTCTTTTCTTTCTTTCTTTCTTTCTCCAAAATATCTTTTTCTTTTTCCTCTTTTTTTCTTTCTCTCTCATTTTCACTTCTATTTCAATTCATTTCCTTCTTTCTCTGTTTTCTTTTTATTTCTTTTACTTTTCTTTTCTTTCTTTCTTTCTTTCTTTCTTTCTTTTCTTTTTCTTTCTCCATTTTATCTTTATTGTTTTTCCTTTTTTCTCTTTCTCTCTCATTTCTCTATTTCCTATTTCCTTCTTTCTCTTTTTTTCTCTTTCTTTCTTTCTTTTCTTTCTTTCTTTCTTTCTTTCTTTCTTTCTTTCTTTCTCCATAGTTTATCTTTATTGTTTTTCCTCTTTTTTCTCTTTCTCTCTCATTCCTCACCACTCTATTTCATTCTCATTTCTCATTTCTCGTTTTTTTCTTTTCTTTCTTTCTTTCTTTCTTTCTTTTCTTTTCTTTCTTTCTTTTCTTTCTTTCTCTTTTATCTTTTATTATTTTTTAAATTTTTTTCTTTCTCTCTCATGAGTCCCCACTCTAGTTTTCTCATTTTCCTTTCTTTCTCGTTTTTTTCCTCTTTCTTTTCTTTCTTTCTTTCTTTCTTTCTTTCTTTCTTTCTTTCTTTCTTTCTTTCTTTCTCCATAGTTTATCTTTATTGTTTTTCCTCTTTTTTCTCTTTCTCTCTCATTCCTCACCACTCTATTTCATTCTCATTTTCCTTCTTTCTCGTTTTTTCTCTTTCTTTCTTTTTCTTTCTTTCTTTCTTTCTTTCTTTCTTTCTTTCTTTCTTTCTCCATAGTTTATCTTTATTGTTTTTCCTCTTTTTTCTCTTTTTCTCATTTTCTCTCTTTTCTTCTCTTTCCTTCTTTCTCATTTTTTTCCTGTCTTTCATTTTCTTTCTTTCTTTCTTTTTTTCTTTCTTTCTTTCTCCATTTTATTTTTTTTTGTTTTCCTTTCTTTTTTTCTTTCTTTCTTTCAACCTCTTTCATTCTCATTTTTTTCTTTCTTTTTTTTTCTTTCTTTCTTTCTTTCTTTCTTTCTTTTCTTTCTTTCTTTTTCTTTCTTTTTTATCTTTTATTGTTTTTTTTACTTTTTCTTTCTTTCTCTCATTCCTTTTTATTTCATTCTCGTTTTCTTTCTCTTCTTTCCTTTCTTTTCTTTCTTTCTTTCTTTCTTTCTTTCTTTCTTTCTTTCTTTCTTTCACTTTTGTATATCGCTTTTAGTCTTCTTTCCTTTCTCTCCTTTCTTTCTTTTTTTTTCTTTTTTTTCTTCATTTGTTTCTTTCTTTTTCTCCCTTTCTCTCAGTTTTTTCTTTCTATCTCTCTCTCTCTTTCTCTCTCTTCTTTCTTATTTAACTCTCATTTTCTTTTCCTCTCCCTCTCTATCTTCCTTGACTCTCTTAAAGTACTCATTGTTTTTTTGCTTTTTTCTTTTTTTCATCCTAATTTGTTCGCTTGCCGATCTTTCATTCAAGTGTCGAGAAAGGGAGATAACTCTATCCAGCATTCGCTTTCTGATAATTTCTCCCTGCCTGCCGTCTGCCTGAAATTTTACAACACGAACTTCATTCCACTCCCACCATTCACGACCCCCATTAACCAAACGAAAGTTTAGGAAGGGTAAGAAGAGATGGTCTGTTCATATGAATGAGGGTGGGGTCGCTATTTGATGTTTCATCAAATAATGAGGACAAAATCTACACTTTTTTTTTTTCAAAAATTGTATTTTATCCCAATAAACAAACTCGGCGACCACACCCCGTTAACCAAATTAGGACGTGTCTCGCCACTGCTGCACGAGACGAAACGAAGGGAATTAAACACCTATGATCCCTTTTTTTTTATTAAATCAATTAATTATAATTAATTAAGGCTAGTGACACTGAAACTTTTCGATCGCCATTTTGCAGCGGGAAAGAACGTCATCAGCAGACGACATTTTCAAAAATGTCAAAATGTCAAAAACAGATAAATCGGAGCAGAAAAAAAAAGAAATAAATGCAGTAACCTTTAGCAGAAAAAGAGGCAGCGTAAAGAGTGAATAAAAAAGGACACAACCAAGTTAAAACCCCACGAAGGTTAATATTTGTTCTAGGTGGCGTCCACGAAAAACGATTTCCAGAGTTTTTCCTCAAGAGTGCTATAAAATGGACGGGTTACACAAGCATACGTACATAAAAGTGGATAACGGTCCTGATGCACTTTTTAAATATATGTATATATATATATATATATATATATATATATTATATATATATATATATATATATATATTGCGACAGGTTGGCGTAATTTTTTTTTCTAATAGGAATTTTCCTCAAATATTATTTCTTTCTTTTTATATCGCCATGTCTTTTCAGGACGTAGGCGATCATGGCTCTCCACTTCACTGTATCCCTTGCAACTCTCAACAGGTTCCTCCCCTATGCGTCCTCCTCCAGACCACGTTCTGTTATCCACTTGTTTAAGGCCGCCAGGTATGTCACGCGTTAACTATTTACATTATTCGGACTATTGTCCTCATGTTTGTCGCCATATTGTGGACACATGTCAAAATGGATAAAGGCGTTCGTTAGATTCTGTGACAGGACCCAAAAAGTGTGAGTTCAATACCCGGTTAAGGCGGTGGAGAACTTGGAGAGGTGAATTAACAGGAGATAACTGATAACTGACATCCATTAAAACATGGCACGTGGCACTAGAACAGTCTACCCCAGTGAGCGAAATAAAGGGTTCAGTTCGACATTCTAGCCAGCTGAAGAAGGCCGGAGCATACAACGGTCAAAACGTTGTAATAAATATGGCGACAAAGATGAGGACAATAGTCCGAATAATGTAAATAGTATACATAATACCTCATCTCAGAAATATAGACAGGTGTCACGCGTTGTATTTCCTTGTCTTACTTTTCCTCTATTCGACCCGTGAGTATCAGATTCTCCAGGCACTCCCCACTCATTACGTGTTCCAGAAACTTCAGCTGCTTCTTCCCGATATTAAGTATAAACCTCCTCCTTGTTTTCAACCTCTCTAAGATCACATCGTTGCTCGCACGCTCGGTCCATGATATCCTTATCATCCTTCTGTAGAACCACATCTCTGTCGCCTCGAGTTTTTTCTTCATATCGGACTAAAATTTAGTGATCCGTGGCCAGAGATTTTTCTCACGAGTGCGATTATATGGACGAGTTCGATTTGGTCTTCTTTGTGTTATGACCCTTCAGGACGTTGGAGAACATAGCTCGCCACAATAACCTGTCCTTTATAGATCTTAAAAAATTTCATCTTTATGCTATTTCTCCTAAGTCTTGACCCTCTAAACATTTACTCAAGCTTGCCAGGTAGTTCAAGTGTTGTTTTCCTCTGTCTCTCGCTTACTGTCCTGTGAGTATCAAATTTTCCAAGCCTTCTTTCCTCATTATGTACCCTAGAAATATTAACTGACTCTCCTTGATGTTTAGTATCGATGAGGTCATCTGGGCTCAAATAATTAGAATACATTATGCTGTCAAGACAAGAGAAAAATCTGGTTGCTGAACTCTCTCTCTCTCTATGCCATATCACTTCAGGATGTAGGCAATCATGGCTCTCCACAATTTACGATTCTTTGTAGCTTTTAATAAATTTTGTCTTTTTGTTGTTTCTCCTAAATCCTGTTCTTCCATCCATTTACCCAAACTCACCAAGTATGGTATGCTTTATTTTCTTCTGTCGCTCTTGCCTTCAATCCGTCCTTTGAGTATCAAATTTTCCAAGCCCTCTTTCTTCATTATATGCCCAAGAGAATTCACTAACACACGTAAAAGAGGACACCGCTTGGTATATAGACCAGAGCTTTGCAAATATTTTCCGCTAACAACCTTGAGTGACTCTTGACGTCTTGTATTAGATAAACACTCACACTCTTTGGGTACTGTCACTGTCCTTGAGGACACATGGCACATTGAATAAAGGCGTTGGTTAGATCCAGTGACAGTACCCAAAGAGTGTGAGTTCAATACCCGCTTAAGGCAGTGGAGAACTTTCAAATGGAAATTAGCAGGAGATAACTGATAACTGACATCCATCAAACGTGGAACTAGAACAGTCTACCTCAGTGAGCAAAATAAAGGGTTCAGTTCGAAATTCCAACCACCTGAAGAAGGCCGGAGCGTACAATGGTTGAAACGTTTTGATAAATATGGCGATAAAGCTGAGGACAATAGTCCCAATAATGTAAATAATGTTTATCAATTGTTTCCACTTTACCGCTTTTTCGGGCTGGGATCAAAGTGTAGTATCTGTCTCGGCAGATCATGACAAGCTAAGACAACATTTATGTCTGACCCCGCACAAGCAATAACAGGGCAAAAATTAACCAATATTTTGACCAGTTACCCTCGGGTACCCCACTTTAAATAACAGACCTTGTATCGCATCCTGACTCAGTGGGGAGACTGGTAAAAACCTGTAGTATCTGCCTTCAAACGGACAAACAACATTTTATCTCTCAGTTGTGTTTCTATCTACGGACAGGGCACAAATCAGTTGTGTCTTCAGCCAGATCGCAACTCAATATATTATTGAGAGGAGCCGGTATCGGGGAACAGCTGCCCCCATCTGTACCTCCATCATAGTACTATACTGGGGGAATTGTTAGTGATACTGATGCCAGCATAAGCGACGCTTCTGGGTGTTTGGCTATTTTTTGGACCTGGCCCTGGTCCACGCGCTCGGGATCCCCACATTAAACTTGCGTCACATCCCGTCAGCGTGGGGCGGCAAGTAACTACAATGAAAGCGGAGTATCTGTTCACATTCTTTTTAAAGTATAGATACCTAGTCCCAGAGTAGCAGGGCACTTATGACAATAAGAAGGAACATGTTTAATTAATTCAAAATACAAAATCTCAAACCCATTGAAAATCTGTTCCTTACAAATTTTAGAAGGTGGAATGCAAAAATCCAAACCACGGAGAGAACCAAAACTTCAATCACAGTTTGATATGTTTATTAGAATTACTATCATCGACTCCAAACCTTCTTGAGACGAAGATCTTTAAATATTTCTTATCATTCTCTCCAAATGATTTGTCCAAACGTATTTTGGTACTGGCCAAATAAGGATAGAGACGAAAGAAATAAAAAAAAGTCAATTTATCTTGAACTTCGTTCCTTCCGTCTGCTTCCTCCCCCAGACCACGTTCTGTCATCCACTTTGATTAATGTATCTTTCTTCTTTTTATGTGCCATATCCTTTCAGGACGTAAAATAAAAATGGCTCTCCAAAAAATCCCTTGCAGCTCTCAACAAGTTCCTTTCCTCTGCTTCCTCCCCCCAGACCACGTTCTGTCATTCAAACTTGAATAAGTCCGTCAGGTATGTCATGCGTTGTTTTCCTTTGTTGGAATCCTCCTCTATTCAACCCGTGGGTATCAGATTCTCCAGGCCTTCCTTCTTTCCTTCTTTCTTTCTTTTTATATGCCATGCCTTTTCAGGACGTAGGCGATCATGGCTCTCCACCTACCTCTATCCCTTGCAGATTTAAACAAGTTCCTTCCGTCTGCTTCCTCCAACAACTTCCCAACAATCATGATAAATACATAAACATATCAACTCACATATTAACGGGTGATGAAAAGGAATTTCTAAATCTAGGATCAAATTGCTATCTCCAACGTAAATTCGAACTCCTCACAAAGAAGACTGAAACTGAAATCTTACACCAATCATTATGTCAACTGGAAAAAGACATATATATATATATATATATATATATATGAAAAAAATACAGAAAAAACAAACAAAAATCTTAAATTAATAACATTAATACAGCATAATTGCATATTAAGATTTTTGTTTGTTTTTTCTGTATTTTTCTTCATACTGTCGGATCTATATCCATATATTTGCCTACATATATATATATATATATATATATATATATATATATATATATATATATTACAAAACTGATTAATCATACCTGAATCAATTATAACATTAAAAAAAAATTGGCGAAATCATAGCTACCTACTTTAATTATATATATAAATATATATATATATATATATATATATATATATATATGCACACACACACACACAAGGTACACATATATATATATATATAATATAAATATGTCAAACTAACATAAGAGTTTAAATTTAAACGACAGGCTTTTTTCATAGCATATGCAATCGAAAGTATATCTAAAATTGCATATAATATGTTAGAAATTTCACTTTTATATTTACATACAAAATATCTCTGATATCAGTGCACTTTATCCCATAAATATAGCACATCTTAAGACTACATTTCTTTATATATATATATATATATATATATATATATATATATATATATTGAATTGGAATTAAGATACCTTTTAGTAAATGACATTTTTACCAACGAATTTTAATTTTAAAATTCACAGAATTTTAAACTGCTTTTGGTATGAGTTTGTAGTGTACTGCTTATTTGGAGACAGAAATGTAGAAGGTGTGTAATTGGAGCCCATCGGTCTCCACCTCCCTCCCCCTACCCAGACTCTCCTACCTCCATAATATGAATCCAGTAACAATTAACTTCTTCCCCAAGGATGTTTCACAATAGTATATATATATATATATATATTTGATATATATATATAATTTGTTTTACTAGTTTATTTTTTCTATCCATCTATCTAATTCTGTTCATATCTATCTATCTATCTATCTATCTATCTCATTCCGTTTCTCTCTTATTTAATTAATAATGACTGGCTACGCTTTTTCTGAGCACATCCGTTTATAAGGCATTTATCAAATCCTATGTTGCAGACATCTGTTAAGGGGATTTGTTCATCACCCAAGATTGTCCCTATCAGTTATATTTCATTTTTATGCTAAACGGGCCTTAAATAAAATTTTAACCTGGTGGCCATTAAATGTTCATCAAATTATCTCCTCCTTTCCTCTCCCTGAATTTAAATCCTCTCTCCCTCCCCCTACCCTTGGATTCCTCCTCTCTCCCTCCCCCCTTGAAGGGTCTCCCTCCCCCCCCTTACCTATTTATCCTCCCTCTCTCCATCCCCTTCCCAGGGTCTCCTCCTCTCTATTCCCCCTTTCCAGGGTTTCCTTTTTTCTACAATATGATTCCAGTAACGAGGCCTTCTCCCCATACCTCCCAATAAGTCTATTATAACATACTCTCTCTTTCTTTCTCCAAATAAACACCATTAACAGTTTGAAAAATCCTGCAATTTATAAAATTAAAATTCGTATTGAAAATAAATCATTACTAAAGGTATCTTAATATAAACACTGAGCGCTCTTTTGTGAGTCAGTTTTAGTATATTTCAAATTCTATGTTGTGTTAATAGGATTATAATATATATATATATATATATATATATATATATATATATATATATATGTATGTTGAGGAGACACGGAGGAGTAATGGATAGCAGCTTTATTGAGGAATCGGAGAGCATTGCATGGAATTCTCCCAATCCATTACATTGACTTACTAATACCCTTAAAAAAATTGGAAAAGGTCTGAATCCCTCCCTCCAGCTATGGCTAAAATAGCAGGGCAGACTGGCCTTGGATGGCAACTGGTCTAGGAGAAGGACAACTCTGAATTCAAAACCTGCGGAGGGTCGTTTGGGAACCTTGTGGCATTCAAATGCACCAGGTTTCTGTATTCGTCCCTTCAAAAAAATGGATGGTCCTTTCACACAAACCTTCACCATTATAATCAAATCTCATGTGCCGGTGTCAGGCTGTCGGTTTCCTGGAAACTGGTCTGCTTGACCCTCATACGTCGAATCTCGACAGGAGAGTCGACTATATATATATATATATATATATATATATATATATATATATATATATATATATAATATCTATATAGACTATATATATATATAGCATAAATTTATTTGTCTTTAAAAATACTTTCTTAATATTTATGTATATAAAAAATTTTCAAATTAAAAATAATTATGTTTTTTTAGACTATTTATCTATTTATTATGTTTTTGATATTTCAGATTGACATCAATATCAAATATATATAAATAAATAAATAATTTCATAAATAAATATTTCATTATTTTTTTTTTAAATTTAAAAAAAACTATATATATATATATATATATATATATATATATATATATATATATATATATATGAAATTTCTGCCTTCACAGGGCTGATGCTAACCTCCAGAACAGTGGCTCTTGCACCTTCTCATTTATAACGTTTTCGACTAACATGAAGGAAAGATTATAACAAAATCTATAAATATTTCAACTTTTCTAAGTTCCCTGTTTATGCTAGACAGTTTATCTCACAGAATCTATTTACATATCTATATGTCTACCGTTCGTCCATGCTCTTAATATTGCTGCCATTTATTTCCTTTTCCCCTTGCTATTTACATTGAGTTCCTTGATAAAAACTTAAAACGAATCAGCAATATTATTGATCCTAATCTGGTTGCTCGTCTTCAGTCACTTCTCTACACACCTAAGGTTGTCAACCCTGTGCCTTTTGTATTTATATAGTAAATACTCACTGGGGCTAGTTTTTAAATTGTTGTTTTATTCCCCCAAACACACACCCGCACACAATGAATTGTACATATGGGATTTATTTAGGACTTCGATAGAGACAATGGGGTATTATGGTGAATGTAGTAAGAAAGGTAAATAAGAATGCGATGTTTTGGTGTTACGAATATTGTGGTATGTTTGGGTCAGTGTTTGTGGCTAGCTAAGTTTAACGTTAAGACCGTCCTATCGCCCATTCCCCATTTTGGCCTTATGCCACACTTCGTAAATAAATTACAAATAAATATCGCTCTTCTTCATAGTACCTAGACTTTATGAATTTAAACGCAGTCCCAGGTGGCAACAAGGTCTCATCAATTTACAGTTGAATTGGCTAGATGTAACCGTAAGTTCTATGCTAACAGTTTCTTCTATCGCACTTCTTGCTTGTGGAACTATTTTCGAGTATATGCTTCTCAGTCAACTTCAATCTTCAAAAATTTAAATGCAATATCAATCGCTATCTACTGTCCTCTTGATTACTCTTTAATTCTCGCTCCTTAGTAATGTTTCTGTTTTCTAATTCTTCCACATCTAGTAATTTAAAAAATGTCTTAGGGGCTTTACTACTTTGCCTGGGGTGAAGTCGGTTAAAATATATATGTACAGGAAGTGTCAAAATGACTTTGACAAGCTTTGAGTCTAGTTCCTCACACTAAACAAGTTCAGATAAATATATGCCCGTAAAACCTTTGTCTTTGAGTTATTAAGTTTCAAGTTTACGGTAGATGCTGTTAAATGTACAATGCGAGATGCAATCGCAAAATACTTATTGTCATAGTTTATTGTGTCACGGATCCTGTCTCAACAACGCGGCGATAAATAGCAGCAAAGATGGGATGACGCAGCTGCCTTTGATCTGGAAACGAAAACTGATACAGCCGTGCAGCCTCGCGTCTGTTACCATTGGCGCGACTATATGTAAAAATCATATCTACCTGCTCGCGATATGAATATCCTGTTACGGTTTTTTGGGTATATACTATATATAACTAGTGAGCGAGTCAAAATGACTTATTTCCCTTTATAATCTACCAATAGAAGATTAACCAATCAGGAGCCGCAGAACACTGTATCCGTCGTGCATAAAAGCGGCCATCTTTGTTTTTTGACCGGAAGGACCATTTTAGAGCCAACTTGTCACTTAACATTTCAAAAGAAGAACTACACTCTGCTGTGATATCCACTGCGAACCTGAACTACGCTTTCCTACTGTCTCCGAAATATTCACTGCCAACCTCTGGATTCTATACTCGAAGACGACCGTCATGAAAATGTCTAACATATCCGGCCATTGTTAAACGCAACAATTCTCAGTTAACTCACTACTACACAACTTAAACGTTAAAGACAGAGTAGCCACAAATGGCAAATGTAACCTAGTCTACAAAGCAACAGAGCGCCATCACTGTAAACTTTCTTTAAATTCAATAACTCAAAAACAAAGGATTTCCGGACATATGTAGACTTTTGTCGTTGTTTTGGTGTGAGGAACCTGCCTCCATTGTTTGTAAAAGATTTTTTTTTTTTATAATACATTTTTATATATATATATATATATATATATGTGTGTGTGTGTGTGTGTGTGTATGTGTGAAAAAAAGTGTATATAAATATAAATAAATATATATAATTATTTATATATTATATGCGCAATATATATATAAGCGCTCAATATCAGAGATATATATAACATATTTGGTTGGATTGATGTGAGTTTGTGACCCTGGGTTTCACGCTTTTGCGATCGTCAGACAAACTGATTAATTTTTTAAAAATTTGGTTTATGTAGATTGCGTGTATTGGTGTTATTATGGAAGTGGGGGGGAAAAACGTCGTCGTGATGTCATCGTCTAACGTAAACATCAATGTATGTTCATACATCGATGAATACGCAGACACATATACATACTTGGTCGTCCGTCGGGACTCATACATATATAAACATATGTGGACAGTTTCGGATTTGACATATGTATGTATATGGGTGGTGTTGTGTCTATATACGCATTTGTATTTGTATGTTGAAATTCAAAGATTGGAAGTGTAGCGAAAATTTCTCGTGAATGTCTCGTGAATGTATACATGTCATATTTTTTTTTATTTTCCACTGAATAATATTTCCATGCATGTATGTATATACGTGTGGTGGGGTTTGTGTAAAATTATGATAGGTAAAAATTATTATTATTTTTTTATTTTAAATTTTTAAAAAAAAAAAAAAAGGGTTATTTGTTATATTTAAAGCTGGTTATTTGTTTGTTTTTTGATGACTGTGTATATGTAACAGGTAGAAATTTCGGTTTATATAAATTATTATATATATTATATATATATATATATATAATATTTATATGCTGGGAGAGAGGGTATTTATGTTAATAATTATAAGTGTGTCTATATGATGTGATAGTAATGTTTCAATCTTGGAGAAATGATAATATAATGTAGCTAATAGTTATTGTAAATTGGTAGAAAAATTGGTTTCGGTGGTGGGGGAATGATAAAAAATAAATAAATGTAGTTATAGTTTGGTATCCTCAACTAAAAAGTGGTTGTTTCTGTGTTTTATTTTTTTAAACTTATGTTGAACAAAAATTTGATGCCAGAATAAATCCTTTCAATAGGGTTTCAGAGTGGACAAAATTGATGATAGTTGAAAATTCTATAATTTTATTTTTAATTTATAGCAATTAAAAAACAGATTATTTTTTTTTTTTTTTATTTCCTTTCCAAAGCCTGAACGAAAGTTTTTGATGATATTTGAATATGTAACTTTATTCAAATATATCTGTTTGAAATCCTTATTGGTTATTTTTTTTTGTCACCTATAAAAATATGACGGGGATCGATTCGTTAAATAATTATTTTATATATGTTTTAGTTTTTATTCATGGTTAATAGGTAGATTCTGATGTGATAGTAATGTGTAAGGGACATGGTGACAATGATAATATCAAGTGACTAATAGTAGTGATTAGTAATTTTGGTGGAGAATAATCTAAAAAATAAATGTAATTATTGTGATGACTAAATGAACTAAATAAACATCAAGACAGAAGGTGTTTTATTTTCCGGCCATTTTCTATATTTATTTATGTTTAATTTTATGGCACTATGAGCCCTTTAAATAATATTTATTCTTATGGTT